TAATTGAGAGCGCATTTCAGAATTTCTGTTAACATTTCATGAGATAGGTCCGTTACTGTACGTCAGTAGTCATCTCTGTTAATAGTAAATGGAGCTCTAATCACAGTCTTTAGCAGTTTTTGTTAACTGTGTTTTTTGTGTCTGTATGTTGTCCCCTTGTCTAGCAGGGTAAGCAGCCACAGCAATAGAAATCAGCTTTTTAAGTGAATTTTTATTATTTTTTAACAGCAACGAGTCTTAATTCTAAATACCGTATGTAGACACCTACATGAGAGCGGCGTGCGTGCGGATCGCATTACGAGGACAGGCATTTCCGTTCTGCCCTGGACCTGGACGTGAACAGCCCATACAGGAAGTTGCATGGCGACTAGCTATCAGTCGTCGAGGTGTTGCTGCCACCTACTGACACATTCAGATAGCCATTCTAGCCTATTAACCGGAGCGGGGCAAAGCCAGGTCGTTTTTATTCCATCAGGGATAGCCCGATGCACGCCACTGAATTGAAAGGGCATGTGCCCATGGTGGAGTTGTGAGGGCCTTTCCGGTGATAAGTTGACCAGGGGGGAGGGGATCATACTTCATGTGCCCCAACACCAAGGGTTGGGATATTACTGGATACCGACAGCTAGTAAACCAGACATGGCCATGCCAGTGTTTCCGTCTCTCGGTGAACTTATGGATATGCAACTAACCAACCACATTTTCCGCCGCCCATTTTACTTTTCTGTCAGCACCCAAGAATATATGACACCCTGCGCAATCGCGGTAAAGGGTTACTATCCGAGACGCCAGGAGGACTGTGAAATCAATGTGAGTCTCTTGTTTATCACCTACGAACTCCTCTGACTCTTTAATTATGTGTGGGCGTCCTTATGAATATGTCAAAACGTTATCGTCCATGCACACTGTCGTGTTTGCGACCAATGCAATCGGCTTTTGCCCTTGCATACTAGTTGCCTGAAGCTAGAAGAAATATACTGTACCCAAAACTTAGCAAAACTGACGGAAACTTAACAGAATGCCCATGTTTTTAAGGCACAGTGCGGACACTATCTCCTTTTGACCGGTCTTTTTAATATATAAGGAAGGACGCTAATAAAGCGCTTATGTCGCCGATGTTAGAGAAACTATTGCAACAGTTTTTGGTAGATGCGCTTAACAGGTATATTGGGAAACTTTTAAGCATTTGACAGGTGCCTACAAACAGGTTCGTCGTGTTGATTATTTCAAGGCACTGCTCTGTCATTTAAGATTGCACGTAGAGAGAAGGTGGTAAGGAAAAGGGCATACCAAGGGTTTATGCTCCGAGTATTTTTTGCACTTAATCTAACAAAGCTCAAAGCAGAATGGCATCCTCCTATCCTCGGATTAGCATTTTTCGACAAAAGTCTGAAGGTCTGGTTTTCTACCCGTTGAATGTCTACTCTGCCTCCCTCATTCACTGAGAGCTCAGCGGAACACCAGAACTTGTTCTGAGCACTCTATTCGCACAAACAAACAGCTCAATACCAAGGTATATTTTTGACAAAAACTTAAAGCTTACTTTCAACAATCCTTATATGAATTGTCCGTCGTCTTACATTAGTCCTTCTCATGTTTCACGTTAAACGCTTGTTCAGACGACGCCTGTTCGGCTTATCGGATTGTCATGCATCGTGGGTCCTACTTCATGTTATAAGCTGCTTGAACTTGCTAGTCACACTTAAGCGACTGGATATCGCCTGTGAGCGTTTGACGGACGTCTTGCCTTGACAGCTGGAAGCATGACACTGGTTCTACCCTGTTTTTAAGCTGCCGGGAACGGCAGGATGACAGTACAGACGGATAGGTTCTGGCCTGTTCCTTCTTCTTCCAGCGTGTCCGCCAGCCTCTTCCATCCCTGAAGATCCTCCTGTGCTCCCTTTTCCTCTCCCCCCCCCTCACAAAGGTCAATGATCATCTCTGCCTGCTTAAGCGGCTGGACAGGAACCACTACTGGGTGCACAACAAGCAAACTAAGCGCACGGGACGGGTGCCTGCTGACGTTCTAGACATTATTGTCCCCCTTCCTGACGCAGAACCGATCGAAGAGACAGAAAACTCTCCTTCTCCAGTCACGGTGGTTCCGGACATAAATGTCAGTCCACGCAGCGATGGCAGTCCTGTTGTGCAGCCCGCGGTACCGAAACCCTTACCAGCACGTTTGCTGCGGACGGAGAAACTGCAAGACCCTAAATTGCCTTTGCCTTGCATAGACGAACTGAGGAAGAGGCTGGTACGTCTTACTTCCCTTTTGCACTTTTGGCGATATCGTTATTGCGCTTCACATGGATGACCTTTTTCCTTTTTTAGTCCACGATGAACGAAAGGTGAGTTATCTTCACGCTGAACTGGATGAGCTGTTTGATTACTTCAACATTCGCTATAACTGCGTGGTAAGGACAGCGTGTTCTTTCTGCTTATTACCTGGTACTTGATGCGCCTGTGATCATGCCTGATCTTTTCGGCCTCGTTTATGTCAAGTATTGTACCTCTCCACGGGGGACGATTTGCGTCAGCAAAGGAAACCGAGTACCGAAGGTCCAAGAACAACTTTCATAACAACGGACTTTGTCGAGCGAAGTCTTGATTTGGCCTCCTCTTCGACGTCTCCAGGTGGGCGACAGCGTCGGGTCGAGGCCAGTAGAACTGAGCTCGCGTGGCGGACGGCGAATAACGCTCCCATACCACCTCGGTCATCTTCCTTGGATGACCGAAGATACCCTCGCGATATCGTCGCAGCGAATGTAGGCTGCCCCATTTGAGACTAAGTCAGTGTGCTTCACTCGAAGGCTAGTTCCCAGGCAGTGGTGGTCAAATGCCTCCAGTCTTCGATCATCTTCTACGTGAAAGGCCCAGCATTCGCAACCGTGGAGGAGCACCCGCCGGACGGATACACGGTACACGCGGATCTTCCTGGCGGTGGAGATGTTGCGTCAGGTCCATCGGCACTTTCTAATGAGTAGCAAGACCATGTGAGCAGCATCGATTCGGGAGACAATGTCGTCCTTACTCAGTCCGTTTGGCAGCAGTCTCGTGCCGAGGTATTTGAAACCGTCTACTTCTTCGAATTGGAGGTCATTAATCCCGGGGGTGCCTTCCCCTGGTCAGGGATGCAACTCGAAAGCAATGTGGTCTTCCCAATGTTTGTGAATTAGCCGGCGGATATGACGTCTTTATGCACGCGTGGTCCCGTAGACTGCAGATCACCAGAGCACGAGACTAGAAATGCGATATTGTCAGTGCAATCTAGCTAAGTCAGCCGGCATCCGCGTGCTAATTCCACATCGTCACATTCATGTTGGGCTTTTCTGAGAATTCTGTCAATGACGTCGTTCAACAAAATGGGTGTCAGGATGCCACCTTCTCGAACACCCTATCGGAGGTCGGACAGGTGGGACAGATCGCCATGGATGAGAACTCGCGCAATGGTTAGCGATATAAGGCCTTGATCATGGCGATGATTTTGGACGACACGCCATCTAGTTCCATTATTCACCACATGGACTCACGACACGAAATCGGACACAGCCAGAAATCAACAAAGCAGACGATCGTCAGCTGCTGGTAGCCATGACGGAACTCTAGAATACGTCTCAGTGTGAATATCTGGTCTGCGCATCCACGCGCAGCCCGGAATCCGGCTTGGTTGATCATCGTTCTAAAGTCGGGCACAGACGGCAATCGTCTGAGAACAAAAGTAAAGACCTTCGCAGCGACATCAATGAGTCTTATACCGCAGTAGTTTTCCCACTTTGTCTTATCCCCTTTCTTGAAGACAGACACAAGGATGCCCCAGCCCCAATCACAAGGAATTACCTCATCTCCCCATGCTTGCTCAATCATCTCAAGAACCGAGAGCACCCGGGCTTTGCTGCAAGATTTATAATTTTGTCAGGAATCCCGTCCTCTATGGGCGTCTTCTGGTTGTGTAACCTCTGTATCGCATCTGGAACTTCCGTCTCAAAAAGGAGGGTCGTACAACACTGCATAAACTAGAGCGGGATAAAACTCCGCTGTAGAGGAGATCGAGGGTGTGATGGGTTGCTCATCAAAGTATGGAAGGTGCTCGAAATGCCCATGTCAGTGATCGAATTTGACCGAATTTCCAGCAATAGAGCCATATTTAAATTGTGGATGGAGTCATTAAGTGTTGAAGACTCGCAACTAACTTGACAGATAACTTGGTGTAGTTTGTGAATGTCCCCAACGTTTGAGGCCTGATTTATGGAGGTCTTTGTTTCATCCAAATATTTCTGCTGGTCATGCCTAGCCGACTTTGCTGCCATTTTCCGGACTTGGTGGGATTAAGCTTCGTTGCGCGACCCGGCTCGAGCCATCTGCACAGACATCTGCGGGTTTGTTCCGCTAATCCAGTCACTGCGTCGCCGCTGGGTGAATCCAAGAATTTTATCGGCTACTCCATTGACTGAGACTTCAGTATTAACCACTGGCCACTACCTTTTCTGTCGGCTCGAGTCGTAAGACGGGACAGGGTTTCCGTTGACGGGGCCTTGTCATTGCTGGGTTGTTAATATTTTGAGACATCAAGGCGTCTTGCACTTGATATTTTTGGTGTAGATGAGGAATGGGCTTTCGGACGTTTGCGGACAAGGGCATGGTCAGACCTATGGACGTTTTCAGTTCCGACACCGTGCATCAATCTGCTACCGTGGACTCAGCTGCGGAATATGAAACCAACTAGAGTGTGGCCGATTTGACTGGTTATATGGCCGTCGTTTGAAGATCAGACTCGCCGATCTTTGTAGCGGTCCTAGAACCACGTGTTAGTGTCATCGTTGCGAACCGCAATAACGGACTCACAGTCGACTGAAAAGCGCTTATTCACCGCTTAAAATCCTTTTCTCACTACCTCTTTTGATGCTCCTCCGCTTCCACCAATTACTCCTCAGCGATTTTTTATGACATTCTGATGTGCTTCTGGTGGTCGTTCCACCAGACTTCCATATTATTACTTTGCCACCTTCTGTATTTGCCGCAGTATAATTTCCTTGCTGCACGGTTCCCCAGCCTCCTTTGCAAAATGGTTAGAACTCGCCGCCTCCTTTCGTCGGATATGGATAACAGTAAACTTATGTTGTATTTGTAGTCGCGGATACGAGGCCTGTGTATGGGTTGGAGGGGTTTATTACCGCTTACTAATCTCCATTCCAGTGTCTTTTTATGTGGATTGGGTGGGGGTTGAGCACCGGTCCTTTTTGGAAGTTGTGTCCGTCAGCAATGAGGGTTTATCAAAGGTGAGGATTTTCGGTTACGATGTCAAATGCCAGAGGTCTTCACCGTTAGTTTAATCGTTGCAAGCAGCAACGATTTGCTGGTAAATTGGCTTATAAGGAAACAGGCTTGCGCCATATCTACCTCACGCCCTTAATGCTCCATTGGTAGGTTGATTTAAGCCGGCTGGCGATTGGGTTGGACACAGTGACTGGTGAATCTGAAAGCAGATCTGCGTGTACCACACGCCTTTGTCCATAACCTCACACAAACGAATCTTCTGAGTAGAATGAATTGCTCACTGGTGAGCAATTCATTCTCCTCAGATTTCCGACCCGGATCTCTTACTTTTGCTAACCTAAACGAATCTTCATTCAGAGGGTCTCCGATCTCTCACAGAAGATTTCCCAACAGGGCCACATTTGAACCTGGTTATTTTAATCTTACCCTCGTTTCAAAGGGGACCGTCCTATTCCGCCAGCTGGCAACCTTCTAAGACTTGATTGTTGGCGCGTCGCAAAAGTACAGTTAACTGCTTAGAGAGAGAGAGAGGAGCCTCATGGTGGGCCCACGTCTCGTTTTCGTCTCCTATGCACCAGTGGCCTGCCTAACATATCAGCCGACTGGTAGGGACGTTAATTACGTGAGTCCCTGCCTGACTCTTTCCGCGCAATAACATCCGCAGATGTGGTATACCACCCGTCAGCGTCGCATGATAATCAAGAAAGCGATGAACAATTATTTGTGGCTGCTGCCTTAAAGATAAGACTGAATGACCGATCGCTGTGTCTAGATGTCCGTCTACACTGCGGACAGGGCAAGCCGGTCAAGGCTCGTGTCACGGGTTCTCCAGTCGCGCTGCATCAAATTCGCAGGTTTTCGTCCGACTCGTTGTGTGGTGGGAATGTGCAACTGCACCTGAGACAAGTTTACGCTGCACTTGTACGGATAGTGCTTTCTCTCTGTCCTGATAGTGTATCTTTTACACCGAATCCAAAGGTGTCCAACAAAATCAGTCTTTTTCTCAGCTGCAAGTTGGGAGTGGGGACACGTCCTTATCAAGTCGGTAATCATACGACCAGTCTGTTAATGATAAGACTCAGGCTTCCTTAAAGTTTCAGAGGTCCAATTCGATCAGGGTGAAACAACTTTTTGTTCGACTGATTCTGCCTTAACGGTCTGGGTTTTGTAAAGACTTCTGTGATAGTAACCCAAATTCGTGCGTTTGTTTGGCCCTTCGGCTTCACGTTGACTGCATTGTCGTTGAGTAGATTGATGCGGTTCTCTTCGGTTTCGTGAATCACTGTGTCGTCCATGTTGACTTAGAACTGCAGTTTTGGGGACGCCAAACATTGTTCCAAGGCGACGTTTAAACGTTTTATTCAGGTTAGGTTGATAACGTTTATACTGATGGTGCTACAGTTTAGTCTAACAAATAAAATTATAGGGCACCTTTTGTCTGCCATTTTATGCAACGACGTCTCTTGTTAAACTACTGTAAGGCCGTGCTGTGGTTGTCCAAACAATTACAGTAAGCTTGATTTCCAACGATTTGGTTATTTCTTTCATCCCCGATACACGGTTTTTTTCGTATCTGGGGGTATGGACTGTAGTTTCAGTATAATGTGAAGGGGGAACCCATCGACAAATAACCTGTGTTTATAAAATGAAATGGTGCACTGCATTTACTACTTTCTAAGCAAAAGCCTTTGCTTCTTTCGGAACCGTCCACGCTCCGGACGGTTGTTTTTGGTTGTAGCTTTTGGTCTAAACCAAGTGTGATTGAACTAGCAGATCGTCCTCTCCCGAACAAGTGCGGGTAATTGTTAAGGACCCTTTCCACTACCCTGTCCGTCATAGAGATCAGGCAGAAAGGGCAGCAATCTGACATACTATTTGGTTCTTCCAACCGTCAGTAACATATGAGTACCAACCCTCCCTCAGTATTTGAGCCACGGTCGTGTGACACCACATCACCTGCTCCTCACATTCTCCAATCCATTTCACATTGTAGTGGTATTGATCAACTGGAGGCATCATCTCCCACCGAGGGAGTGGACACTGAGTCAACCGATGAGCCATCTCCTGGAAACAACAGTTCGCACGTAAGTGCAGCTCCCTTGTCCAACACATTTTTGTTTTCTTTCTGTCGCACTATTTGGGTGCCCGAAATGGATTTGTTGCGATCGTAGATGTACTGTACGTTATTTGGTGCTTTCCATGTGGCATGGTCGCTGACACGCGCAAACGAGCTGTTTTAGCTTTGTGAGCCACTTGCGCTCAAATCCCCGTGGCAGATGACGGACCAACACACTCAGTGTACCTGGTGCCCGGGGGCGGGCAGGGTGAGGTCGACTTTGGAGACTGTGTCCACAAGTCACTCGGGGCACACCCACTTCAAACAATCTGACGCGTCATTAAACTACCTCGGTGCGCTAAGAGCCGTGGCTTGGAAGGCTGCCAACTGACGGGAGAACTCGGTCCACTGCTCTCAGGATGGAGAGTCAGACTGCAATGGCTCCTTCCTAATATGGCCTCTTTGGCACTCCCACTTAGTTGATATCCAAGACGTCCTCATTTCTTGCTGTGTGAAAACCTGATCCATTGTACTCGGCCCTAACGTGTTTTACACGCCCAAAGGAGCTCTTCGGCTCTCTCAACTACTGAGCCCGATCCCGCCTCCGGTCTTCCTGACTGTGTTGACACCAGGCCAAGAGTGAGGGTTGAGAGAGGACGCGATAGGTGCAGTGAAAGTCTGCTATCACTACACACTAATTAGCGCGCAAGTCACCGTCGCTGCGCCCACCTCATTGTGAGGCACACGATGGACGTCGTCGACGGCGACGTTTTTCCCGTATGATTTTTGGGCTAATTGACGCAACTCTAATGTGCAAACAAGTTTGTTTGTCTACTCTTGCCCCTTGAAGCTGTCATCCCAGTTGAGTCTGTTTTAGTATACCTCAACTTGTGGAATCACTACAGCCCTGATCATAATCTTCGGTTGAGTACTTTCCAAGCCACGATTTAGATCATGATAGTTTGAAAGTTCGTTTTGTCGCTCATAATAAGAAAGTTAGCATTTGGTAACTGCTGCGCCTACTGTAGACGTAATTGGCCAAGGGACTGATTTTGACGAAGTCCGGGTAGGCATTCACTTCGATTGGCAAAAAGAGACCAAAAAGCCTGCGCCCTTTTGCACGGACTGTTGTAACTATGGTGGATGGGCTATCTCATAAAATGTTAACTGAAATTCTGAAAAGGTTTCGACCACCTGCATAAACTACATTCCGCAAAAAAATGATTACTGGAGTAGCATGATTTATTCCCATTGATTTTCAACGCCGTCATAAATTCAAATAGAAAACATGCATAAAAATACTTGTTCATTTACTCACTTGATAGCGAAATGCGTCTTCTTCAAATTTTATACACTTCCTCAATTTCCGACTAATTTCGAATCCGACCCACCGTTACACTTGCATTCATGGTTTCTGAACTATAACCTGTATGCTTTTCGTGCCAGGAAGATCATGTATTTCTTTGTGCTATTATGAAGAGGACGCAGAGGACTCACAAAATTTTGTAATGGATGTCTGCCATGTCCATTTTATAAGCAGCATTAATAGATGTCCTGATGCGACTCTGTACAGTTACACACCTCATGGTTCTGAAAAATCCCATATCCGGAAACTTCTTGGAAGCCGAGAGCTACTTTTTCTTAGGTATGGAATTTTTAAAAAAACTTATTTTGCTACCAAGTGGGAGAAAGAATATTTTTGGGCATGTTTTTTATAAAATACATTTGAATTTATAAGGACACCGAAAATCAATGGAAAAACCCCGTACTAACTAATCAATCGGTTTATGCGGAATGTAGTTTACGCGGGCGCTCGGGAAGGAGCTCGGTCGAAAGCCGGTATCCTCACATGACTGGAATACCATGGTATTATGCGGTAGGATAAGTAGCATGACAACCCTACATGTGTAATCTTTCCGAATCGGGAACACATTGCGAAATTTCGGTTAACATTTCATGAGATCACACACCGCCTGCACCTTTCGTTTTGTGGATGTGTCATCAAAATTCTTCAAAAACAGCGAAGAGGTAAGGTTATTGCGAATGTGTTTGCCCTGATTAATAGACCTTTCTACAGATTATTGCACTTTTTGGTGTCGCGGCCCGTTTTAGTTTGACCACCGGTCGTTAACTGCAGTGCAATTTTTTCTAAATGCTAGGCCGTTTAGCTCATAGAAGCTGGTTCAGGACATAAAACGCTCATATTTTATAAGTCGTTTATTAGCTAATTTGTCTTCATAAATTACCCATTTGGGGACAATTCTACCGTTTGGTTGTTTCGAACCCCAGCGCTCTTTTTCTGAGCCATTTTACGTTTTTTTCTCCCATCGTGTTTGTGTGTACTGTAGAACAGACCATTAACTCGTTTCATGTTACTTTTTCGCAGTCCCTGCCAGTTCCTGCGAATGGGTAGGTATCGACACTTGCCTCTGTTGGCGTTTTATGCGAGAACACTTTTTCTATTTTTTAATCCACCCACACCCTTACTGCAGAACACGGAAAAAACACTCAGTCGAGTTGCACTCATGGTTTTAACGACAATTACCTTTCCAACGCTGATTAGGAGTAGGACGAAAGCAGACTACAGCTTTAGCAACAAAAGCGAAAACAGTGGAATGGCATTATCGGCAGGTGCTGCCTCTACTGGGGAATGCATACCTAAGGTCCTGACGCAAAGCAGTTGATCATTGAGCAACGCATTCACCATTGCACCAGAGCGCTCCTGTGCTTTCGGCGGGCATCGGAAATATGCAGTATTCACATGATTGCGGAGTGCAGCGGTCTACTCAAATCGCAGGGTAGACATGAGCATTCACGCTTTGCCGTCGAGTAGTGTGGGCCAACAGCCCACGTTACTCGATGGACAACTGACTACCGGGCTTCGAATCCCGGTTGTGCAGTCCGGTGTTGGGACACCCGTGTGGCTGATGACAGCAAATAGGCCAGAAATGGCCTTCATTCCCATGTCATTAGATACCTCAATTAATGCTTGCTAGTCGATATGTCACCTCCGGCGTTGAATGTCGACACGCTGGTGTGGATGGAAAGCGCAGATAGTCATTTCTGTCCCGCAATGCGGATTCATCAGTGCACGTCTTACTCAGATGCAAAATGATTGTTCAGCTTGCAAAAACTAACGCCCTGGTGCTCGGCCCGAATGATTTCCTCCAGAATCAGCGTAATTGTTGTTATTACTTTTAAAAGGACGTATATTTTTAAACAAGAACACAAAGTAAACTTTCCCCTGAAACACAAGCTTTCGGGTCCATCTGACCACTCATCGCCTGGGTTATCACCCGTAAGTAGTGTTTGCCGGCGTGTGTCAATTTTCTCTGTGCTTACCCCGCTGGCTTTCAATTCTTACATGAATACCAAATTACGCCAGGAATTTCAAACTAACGTCTAGGGAAGTCAGTATGCTGTTTGCATTGTCCTCTTGTGGAATTTCATAGTTCTGGATGAAAACGGTCAGTTTTCCCTCTCTTAGTTTGTTTTTTGTTAGATTTGCGGCTGCGAAACTTGCTTTCATTTACTTTTGCAAACAAATTTTTTTACTGTTCCTATACTGAATTATATTAAAACTTGACCACTTTTAGACCACCTGCATCGCCAAAACCCGCACTACCGCCGAAAACGCGGAGGGAATCCTGGGTACGTTAACCCTTTCGTACTCAGTACATGTTTTATTAACTCTTCGAAACCCAACCTTCTATATCTCCCGTTTTATATCTTCGAATTCTGAAGTAGTAGTTTCACTGAATATCATTTAGGCCTTTTGGTTTTGCCTCTTTAGTGAATTGTAAACCTGTGCTCTTCTGATTCCTAAACAGAGCCACATCAGTATAAAAATTTGTAAGATGTGGTTTGGTAGCCCCACCTGATGGACACGATACTGTTGGGGTTAGGGGTTAGGATTTAGGATTAGAGGTTATAGTTAGGGGTTAGCGTAACTATTTCTTAACCATTCAAATTACAACCGCGCATTCCCAATAGCTTTTCTTTTGCATACAACTACTTGGCCTAGTCGCCTGTGCGTTCCCCGGCCTCACCTGTAAAAACCCCTATTACCACCGATCCCGTATTAGAGGTGACTGGGGTTTGTTTACTTCAGTTGGGGCCACATAACCACATCTGGCCGAAAAAATTGCTTCAGCTTATATCGAGCGGAATACTGAATGCAAGGTGTTCAGCATACCCATACGTCGAATTCTACAGGGATCACTATCTCTCTGCATTCTGTGCTCCTATTTATTGCCGCAATTGTTAATTAAAGAATATACACGAGCAGTTAATAATAAAGACTGTTCCACGCACTATTGTTTGTTTACTGACGCATCAGAAATAATCTTACAGACGCCGGTCTACCCACGAATAGAATGACCTCCCAGGTTCCACGTATTGTATCATTAAAATCACCAAATGAACGTCTAACCTATTGGCGACAGAAACAGGAGTTTTCACTGGGTAAGGTTGCTTCTTTAATGGTCATATCGACCGTGCATTGTCGGAGGATAATTTTTTCACTCAGTGTCCTCTCGATGTGGTGCATAAAGCATAAGTGCCGTCAGTTTCTTGTGTCCTACTTAGATTCGCTTGATAACCGCCTCTGTGGTACCGGCCACGTTTGGTTGTCGTTTTTATACCCCTTCTTAGCAGGGCAATGGTCGCAGCCTAAGCGCCTTGCTCTGTACCTGACTTTTTGTTCCCCAAACCTCTTGTTGCATGCTGGATCAATGCTTGGCGGTGCAGTACGATGGTTGCCTCAAAGCGGCCATGTGGCAACCGCCGTTCTGAAATTTATTTTGCCACCTGACGTCGCCTTTTCCATGATATCAGTCTATTTAAGACCGAACTCCATCTCAACTTAGGCTGGGATTGTCTTAGTCTGGTTGAGCTGAACCTGCGTAAGCTCTTGTTTACTGACACTCATAAGACGGGTGTTTCACGCCATTCCTGTCGGCGCACCCAGCCTCATCGAAAGTCGGACAAAATGCTCAGATGGACCACTGGTTCGGAGGAAAGAGAAAAAATTAAGGCCGATACTGAGGCACTCTTCTTCAGCACAGTTCAACGCATGCCTCAGTGCAATACATCAGGTGCACTTCAAACTGTTAAGGCGCGTTGGCAGTTGTGGCTTGGCTAGTTGCCAACTAACAGCATAACTCAGTCCTCATCAGAGCCAAGGGTCCTGCTGCAGTGTTGCTTTCTTTGTGGCACCCCATTATAGTATCGGTTAAGTGGGTTTGAGACCGTCCTCCATTCTTGTCTTAGTGATGGATATTTGAGAGCGTGCTTGTGTGTAGTACGCCCAGCGGCGACATTGGACGTTGTCAGCCATGATCATTTCAGGTAACCTTGACCTTTTCTTGCCATCAGAACACGCCGATCGTAAGAACAGTGAAGTAAAGTGGATGCGGTCTTTTTCACTCGCAAGACATCCGAAATACCGCGTGGTGACCTCGTTGTTTACTAGCGCATACAGTTTTGCCTCTAGCCTGTCGATGTTTACCCTTCACTGCTTCGAAATGACGTCCTTCGGACTTTTTTGACTGCGCTTCCATATGCGGTCGTTTTGTGATAGACGAGTGCCTTCTGTTTGTAGTACCGTAGTAGTAGTAGTAGTAGTAGTAGTAGTAGTAGTAGAAGAAGAAGAAGAAGAAGAAGAAGTATCGGTCTGCAAAAGTTTGGTCTTTGTCTTAAGGAGAGAACTTCCTTAACAACCGCTGCCTCTTGTGTCTTTTCCATGTTAATTTATGAGTAGCAGTTTCTCACTGAAGTATTCCACAGTGTTACCTGTCTGGTCTTCAAACCAGGACTTGGGAATTTCGACTATTTAAACACCTAGTGAAAAGCGGAGCCATGGAATCGTTGAAGATGTTTGCTCTAGATGGGACACGACTGAAAACGCATCTGGTCTGTCGGAGCGCACTTTCAATTTGGAGATTGACGTTTCAAATGCGAGGGTTGGCAAACCGGGGAAAGCGTGTGTGACGCAATGGGGCTCATCAAAAAGGGCTTTAGTTTAATAACGGGCTAAATACATCTGATCGTCAAAATCATCCCACTCTCGTATAACCACAATTGGTTATTGCTAAAGAAGAAGGCTGATCGGGTTTTGTCTGTGGGAGAGCGCTGGCATTGTTGACAGCTGCCTCAATAAGGGAAGGCCGTGAATTCCTGGTAGGCAATGTACTCAGTTGAGGCATGCATCAATAGCCATGAGAGATATTTAAGGACAAATGGAGGCGGACGCAGCAAATACCTACGGAATTACGAGATACAATTGACGCGTATTTACGTAGGCTTAGACCAACCGCAGAATCCTTTGTTAGCCGCGGTTAAATACTTAACAGTTTTGTTCATGACACATAATCCTGAAGACGGACTAGGGATACGGTCTGGAAAATTTGCGCAATGGAGTTTTTTCGTTCTCAAACAATTTTACCTCTTTCTTACGAAATCTCCCGGGATACCTGTTTTTCAATAACTTATAGTTCACTACAAGATCGTCCTTAATCTCGGATTGTTTACCACTCATGTCGACGTGGCCTTTTCTCATTACTATCCATATTCGTAATCAAATACCTGTTGCAAATGCCTTCTTCACCAGAGACTATTTTGCTTTGTGAACAAACATGTCCGTGCCATTTAGTCAGATGCGCTCAATCCACCCGAACCGCTGTCTCTCGGCATCTAGCGTCCGAGTTTCTTAGGCAGGATTTGTCGTTTTCTGGCGAATATTATCTAATTTTGTAGCTTCCATTGGACAAGACTTACGCAAGCCGTTAGTAGGTTTCGGACAAAAAAATACCATCTATACAAGCTTAGATTCTGAATTAAATCGCCAAAATATCATGCAATTTTTTTAGACAGCGTCTTTCGCTTGAACAAAGGCCTGTGTCTGTAGTTTGTTACCTAGAAGCCAGTTATCTCAGCCGCTGTACCTGGGCGTTTTCCTAGGCCTCTCCTGAATTTGCGTCTGTATGATTTAATTCGGGTTTTAACTATAAGGGTTTTCCAGCGAGAACACGGTGACGCCAGTGGCCGCCTCCGGCCTATATGGCGTCTTCGGCCAGCTGCCCTCCACTTTCTGGCCGAAATCCCATATATAGTAGATGTCGACCGAAATTCTTAAATGTATTTTCGATTCGAAAAGACTACTTAAGTAGGTTTGTAGCAGGGATTATCGTGCCGGGTAATCCTAATATATTTTGCTCACACCAGGATTCCTGCTTTTGAACGAGCTTCATTTCGGTCGTCTGCAAAATCTGCTTTCTGTAGAAAGTGGCTACTTGACAGTACAGTACTTTTCCGTTGATTTTCGATGCCGTCATAAGCTCAATTATATTTTGTAGAAAACGCACACAAAAATACTCTCTCCTACCCACTTGATTGCAGATTACGTCTTCTTTGAGTTCTATGCTCAAAGGAGAGGTATATTTCGGTTTTAAAAAAGTTTCTAATTATGAGCTTTGGAAGACCGTGAAATGTCCAACCATACAGCATAACATCAGCAGGGTTGTGAATGTTACTCATAAAGTATACAACCTGGTTCACGTCCACTTTACAATTTTATGAGTCCAATATATCATCTTCCAAACGATGTACAGAAGTGTGTGACATTCCTTTGATAGATGCAATGCATCATGTAGTTTGGAAGCCCTGAATAAAAGTGTAATGACAGGTCGGGTTTAAAATCATCCGGAAATTGAAGAGGTTTTTCAAAACCGGAAGATACCCACTCATCGTGTTGCAGATTTGAAGAAAACGTAATCTGCCACCAAATGGTTGCGAGAGAAAATATTTTTTTGCGTTTTCTACAAAATGTAGTTGAATTTGTGAGGGCACCGAAAATGAACGAGAAAAATTCATGCTATTTCAGTAGCCATTTTCTCAAAGTGCAGTTTTTTAGGCCGCCGAAAAGAAGCTCATTCAAGGACCGGCATCCGATACCAAGAATCAGCCCTCGATTGAGTAGTCCAGCTTGCATACTATTCGCCCGCACCACATGACCAGGGTTGGGGAGCGCGTTGTTTCCCGCGGACGCCTTAGCATGGACCGTAATACTTTAGTCATACAGATTTCATGTGGTTTCTGGGTGATTTCGGATACGGGTTGGTCGCCAGCAGCCGTCCGGATTGTTTGTTCGAGGTTGCCTCCTCTAGCGCTTTGGCTTAAAAGCCTAACCACAGGGCAGCGATGGCAGTAAGATGTGGTTATGTAGCCCCACCTGATGGACACAATACTGTTGGGGTTTGATTTAGGGTTAGGGGCTATGGTGAAGGATTAGGGGCTGGGGGTTAGAGTTAGGGGTTATGGTAAGGGTTAGGGCAATTATTTTTCAATCAAGGAAAGTACAACCGCGCATTCCCAATAGCTTTTTTTGCATTGAACTGCTTAACATCGTCGCCTGTGCGTTCCTCGGCCCCACGCGTAAAAACCCATATCACCACCAGTCCTCTATTACAGGTGGCTGGGTTTGTTTACTTCAGGTGAGTCTACATCGCCACATCTGACCCCGATTACAAACAGACTTATTTAATGACGGTTTACGGTCGCCCTGTCACAATGCCGTCATTTGGCTTTGCGGCTTTTTATAAGGCTTTCAGCGTGCCAGACCTCAGTCCTCCGCACCCTGGTGGCACTGTCGCTGATGGTCCGCGACTGCTCGTTCGTCAGACCTGAGTCTGATTATTTCGAAATTAACCTTCACTGAAGACCGTTCCACTATCCGCCACCTGTGAACGCTCCGGGTAGCCAGCAGCAACCCCTTTTGCCTACTGATTGATGGCTGTAATTAAACCCTCTGCGGTCATGTTAGTCTCCTTGTTTCTGTCCCGGCAATACTTCCGATTGCCCATTATTCATCACTTTCACCGTTCTTGCAAGGGAACGTTACCATATCTTTGAGAAAGAAGTTGACTTTGTCGGTTGGCAGTGCAACAGCCATGGCTACCATGTTTCACCCATCCAGTTATTCTTCCTTTCCTGTGACTACGTCGCAGATGTTCGCATCAGCCCTGACCCTGTCTTCCAATTTCCTAAATGTTCACACTTCCCGTACGTACGTTTGCAGAATTCTGCGATATCTTCCACCGCTGCCAACAAGGACCAATTTCGGCAACCGGAGAACCTGCGGCCCTGCCGTAATTCGACCCTTCTCCCACCTAGTGTGCGTAATCAATCCTTTGTCTGCATTAGGCAGACTTTGTCATCAAGTTAACATTGCTTTGTCATTTTGGATTTTGAAGAAACTGTCAAGCAGAGGTCAATAGGTTGGTACTATCTCTGTTTTTGTCTCGCGCTGCAACATCCTGTGATGGTTCAATTTGCCCTAACCATTCAGTCACACGCCTTTTCTCCATGTGTATTCCTGTATACGGACACAGGGAGCCAAACCTGGTAGTGGTGGTGGAACCTAAAACGTACCGTAGCGCACAAAGGTCTATGTGCTATCTCAAGAAATGTTAACCGCGATTGTGAAACACGTTTTCGATTCGAAAAGATTACTAAGATAGGGTTGTAATATTTATTATCATGCTGCATAATCCTAAGATGTCGGCCTTTTAATGAGCATCTTTTTTGGCCACCTCCAAGAACTGCACTCTGCAAAAATGACTACTTAAGTGGTAAGAATGTTCCTCTTTAATTTCCAATGCCTTTGTAAACTAATTTGTATTGTTTACAAAACCTATACAAAAATATTCCTTATTGCACTCATTTGGTAGCAGATTGCGTCTTCTCCAAGGTTCTTATTTGAAGAAATAGTATTTTTGGTTTTACAAGAAATTTCTTATCATGGAATCCTTTAAGACCATGAAATTTCCATTCATACAGCATCGCATCGGCATGTTTATTAGTGCCACTTATAAAGTATACAATCTGACTCACGTCCACTGCACAATTTTGTGAGTCCAATATGCCATCTTCCAAACGGTATAGGAAAATGTTTGATATTCCTTTGATGGAATGCAATATATCATCTAGTTTGGAAACGCCGAATGCAGGCGTAGCGGCATGTGGGGCAAAAAGTATTCGGGAATTGAAACGTCTTTAAGAACCGAACGATGTTTTGTCTTTAGCAGCAGGTTTGGTGAAGACGCAACTTGCTACCAAGCGAACACAAGAGAGGATATTTTGTGCATGTTTTCTGTATAATATATTTGAGTTTCTAAAAGCGTCGAGAATCAGAAAAAAATCATGCCACTTTAGTAGTCGTTTTTTGCAGTGTGATTTCTATAGGCGGCCGAAAAGAAGCTCATTCGAAAGCTGGCGTCCTGGCGTGAGTGAAATATTTTAGGATTGTGTTGCACGATAATTGATATTACAACGCTACTTTAGTAATCTTTTCGAATCAAAAAACATATTTTAGAATTTCGATTAACATTTCATGAGATGGCATATCTACTGCATGTTTAATGAACCACTTTATCCCAAGTCACCTCCAGTTTGCATTACTTTGGTTTGCAATTCTAACCACGGATGTCATCAGCTCAGTTCTGAATTTCTTCTGGTCTAATCCTCTTCAGGTCTCTTTAGAATTTTGCCACGCAGCAGCGATCATACCTTGGCCCACTCTCCTTTATGGAGGCAGTTTGGTTCTTGGGTACAGAACTAATTTAGGATGGTTTCCCCTTTATGTAAGACGCTGTATATCGACTGTTCCTGCGCGGCAGCACGATACTAGCCACTGCGCTGTATATGTACTATACAGTAGGCGACCTATCACATAAAATCTGATGCCAGAAACTGATGTGGTATTTTTGTCCCTCATAAACGTTTCACATTCAGTCTCTTCAAAGAAATGTCCTTTTCTTGTGCAGAGAATGTGTTAAAGTAATATTGTCAAGCAAAGTATTCATAAATTTGGGCGAAAATGGACGTTGCAATATATATATATAGGCAATCTCCTATGCTAATACCTGTCCTAGACACCTTTCATGCGTTAGGTAACACAGTGTACATCGACGTTCCCTGTGCGAAAACATCATAATGGCAGTGTTAGTTCAGTCACTACGCTCAGTCTCACCTCCGGGCGGCACGACCGGAAGTTTTCTCACCGAAGCACAGTGGCAGCAATGGCTCTGCTCAGACCCTCCTTACCATAATCCCTTTCACGCGTTCGTCACTACTGCCCAGCCAGTAGCATTCCTTTATCAAGGATTTCGGGCAAACAGCATGATATGCGAAGATCGCATTTGAGAATACTGAGCAGGGATTATCAGTAAATTCGTGGCTTCATATAATTGGTGTTTAGAAACATTGCTATTGGGTTGTTGTTTTTGACGGTATGATCGTCCAATTTTTTGCTGACTAGCACAGTAGCGAGTGAACCGACCAAGCACGGCGGTATTCATCGACTCCTACCTCCCATTTCCAGTCAACTGCACTTCAATACGTTGCTGGAGTTAGAATAAATTTCGAGAGGTGACAGGTCTGAGGCTCCCTGTCTTCATTATAATCTCCCTTGTGCGTACATCCGATCTGTCCCTCACAAGATTGTTGTTCGAGATTAGCTGACAAAGTACTGTGTTGTTCTTGTGACTCTCTGGACAGACTGTCTTTCTGATGAACCAAGAACCAATTGAAAATCATCTGTTTCGTTGCCGTTTGCTCCACTCCTAAATGCAATTTATTTTTTTTTATTTTGTCCTCTAGCCACTTACACCTTCGCGAGAGGTAGCCTGGGTCATTGTTGAAGATTTTGGGACTTCTCAGAATACCGAAAGTAGACTATCAGTCAGGGTAATTGGTCCCACCCTCCTTACGAACTCCCACTTTTCCTATCTGGCCTAGAGACTGATTGCTGCCCTTTCGTTGGCGTAGGACGGCGAAGTACTTCGGTGGATCAATTTTGAAGAGGATATACTGAACGGTGACACCGAACTGAGCAATGACGCTTTCCTCGAATGTGAAAAGTGGACTGGCGAAGCTGTGGTTTTGCCTTCTGAGTGTGTCCGAGTTCTTCGCGACAGACGCGAATTGGCCGTTTACTTGAGCAAGCGCCCTCGGGCTGAAGTGATAACTGAATATATTACGGCATCGCCAGAAGGCCTGTATCTTAGGGTATGCTTCTTTTGAACGTTTCGTTTCGACATTTTGGGTGATTTCGTCTTTCATTTCAAAAGTATTTCCTGCATTTTCAAACTTACAATTTCATTCTGATTCAATTTCGATGTTAGCCTGCAGAACTAGCAACCCCGTCAAGCTTAAGCATATTTAGCTCTAATCTTTTTGTTTTGTACAGAATTCTATAATTGTCACTGCACTGCCTAACTGGGTTTGACAGACTCATGTGGTCGCCTTGGCAGGACGTGAGAATAGTAACGTCCCACCCTAGTTATAAAGGTGAACCTGCGCATAAATTTCCTTGATGCATTCGTTCTGGGATTGTCAACTTCATGATTACTATAACTTTCTCCGAATGCTGCATCGTTCCGTTCAAGTAAGACTTATTATTTTAAAATTAGTTCCGACCGGTCACGTCTGGCAATGGCTCTTTGCCTGTTAGCGATCCGGTATTTTCATTTAACGCTTTTTCATTTATTGTGCCGTTTTTCCTGACGCGTCGTCTAGTCGATATATCCCGCGCATCTGGTGTCCACAAATCTTCCCACATTATGCTCGGTTCCGGCGTAGTTGGTACGGTCAACATCCGATCGTTTCTGTTCACGACATTGCTGTGCTCGTCTTTTAGAGATGAGATAATGCATAAATCCATTTTTCTCGAACAGCTATCTGTCACTGAGTTCGCCCGAAGTAGGTGGTTTGATTATTTCGGTATGGTGAAGGAGCCCGTGTTTTTTGTGTACTATAGTGCAGATGATGACCCCAAAACGGGCTACGCGGTTGATGCGCTGGACCAACATGGATACCATATTGGATTCTGGCAGGCGGTATCTGGAATGCACACCAGGATGCGGTGGCAGTCCCAGTTGTCGACTCACGTCGCGCCGACTGGGCTCCCTGTTGTCCCCCAATTGTTGTTGTTAGTTAAAATTCTGGTCAAGTGTTTGTTGTGGACCAAGCGGTGTTGTAGTAAGCCTTTGTGTGGGTCCAGCCGTGCCAGTCACTTGCGCCATCTCCTGCATTCGGTCTTCTTGGCTATGTCTTGACACCGAGCCCAGGTGGGGGAGGAGGAGAGAGTCCGGTTGGTACTGCGCAAGTCTATCACTTTAAATTAATTCACGCACAAGTCACCGTGCCTGCTCTCAACCTACTGAGAGCACGCAGTGGACATCGTCGGTCATGACGGTCGAACTGTCGTGTATTGCTGATGATGCGCTCAAAGACGTTAGTGGAAGATCGGTTCTCCTTGCCGCTCATCACGCAAAGTTTTACGCCAAAATGATTTATAAATTTGAAGGGGACGTACAATGCGGCCCAACTTTGCGTATTACTTTTAATTGCCTGCGGATTCTTACAAAGGTATCGTTGTTTGGTTTGGGTACACTGATTGCCTTTTTGCAAGATAACATACATTTTCACTTAAATATCACATTCGGCTTATTTTTCGGTTGGCATACACTCTAATCTGGTATACTTTGACTTTGCTGGCGACCTTAGCGGTTTACCTGTGTTCCGCTGTTCTGCATCATTATGTCGTGCCGTTGACTCGACGTTCCCACTTTACCCTTATGCGGTTCGCCAACGGCATTTGTCCTTGAGTTTCTACTGGCCATTTCGCTGCCTTAATCTTTGAACATAGCGTCTTATTGTGCAGGCGCTATATTTTGCTTCATTAGGTTTTTGGTGTTAAATTTCTCTATTATTCAATTTTCCGGGTCGCTTTCATGGTTATGCACGGGCCTATTTAAACCTATTCACTGAATTAGACCATTTTTATAAAACTGTATCCTTTTTCACCGCTCTCTTTCTCATCCATTAGCCCCACCCATTTAACGCCCACCTCCGCCGGTCTCGTTAGGCATGATGACCTACCCTCTTCGTTCTGGATGGGGTCGCATATTGCATCGTTGCCGTAAATCTTAAGTGCAAACTTTCGAAAGGAATTATTTTGTATTAGGAACTGCAAGTGCCATTGCATGCGCACTGTCAAAATAATTAGCTTCCTTAGACGCTACTGGTGATTATAATTGCCTGTCATAGGCCCCTTTTATCTTCAAACCATAATTCAACGACGCATGGATTAGTGTGGCATCAGGTTTCATGAGTAGTGTCATTTGGCTCAGTCTACATTGTGCCCGAAAGCATCTTCAGGCTCGCTCGAGTTGCATGTGCTTCTTGGCGTGAATGCGATTTCGAGGGGACGCTTTTTTAGACCGTTTGGCAGAACTTTCGAAAAGTGCATGTGCATGCTGGTTTTCTTAGATGAGGCGGACCCCTGCCATTGAAAGCACGCTTCACGTGCACGGTAGCTGCATCATCACGCTTTTGCAGCTTCTTCTCCATATCTATAATTATCAGCACCACCCATCAGAAAAGTTCAACTCTTTAGAGGATTCTCGATGCACAGATCACCCAATGTCAAATCCAGGCAACCCGACAAGCGTTGTCAACTTTTTTACTCAGTCATATAACTGTCTTGCAGTCACGCCGCTTCTTCAACGGTCATGTTCTTTTTCGTAGGCTGGTGAGCTAATTTACCTTCACCGCGAAATGGATGACGGCAGTTTCTACGCCTCCAACAAATTCGGCCAAAGATGTGTTGTTCCTCTGAGTGTGTTAAATATTCTGACACCCTGCGAGACTGGAAAGCGCAGGTAGACCCTTTCTTCTTTTTCTTAACAGAAGTCGTTTCATTTATTTTCATTTTGTTGACTTTTTTGAAGTTTATCCTTCCTTTTCTCTCCAACAATAGACCAATTTTCTGACTCCGTTGTGTTTTATTTCTGCCGTCTTGACCATAATGCATCAAAAAATCTTGCTTTGGACGCTTTGTCCATCACCTCTTCTTATTGCTCCAGGGAAATCGTCACCATGCACATTAATCCGCAGAGTATCATTGATTAATTTATGTCCTGGACGACAGACAACTTATAATTGTTTGGGCGTTTTCTCTACTTTACCTGGTAGCTGCACAGTTTCATTAACGACGGCTCTGGCCACTTTTATTTATATAGACCTTTCGTAAAGAATGATCCGGATAATATGGTATATGGGTCTCTTCGATTTTTGCCGCAAATATATTAATTCAGTCCCAGTCTTCAGACGCCTTCGCCTTAAATCCAGCCTCCATTTTACTTCTACGCACGATTCTCTACATTTCGTTCCCCAGAGGGAAGACTTCTAGTAAAAAAAATCTCCAGATGGCTTGCCTCTAACACCGATAATCAACTCGAAGTCAGACTCGCGTCCATTTTCTTCTAAAGACATCGTTCCAGTGGGTCTGGTGGTTTCTTTTGCGGATAACGACATATTCAGAGGGGTTTGATTGTCAGGTGAATGAGTGCCTATTAAATAAAACTAGTTATTACTTTTACTCTTGAATCATTAAAAGGGTATACAGCGTTGCTGCAGCAAGCAGTGAAAAGAATGGGAGCCCCTGTACAAGTTTGGATATCTTTCGGATAATAAGAATGCAGTGGGTCCTTAGGATTCTTCAGTAGAGAAAATAGCTGCTCGGAAAAGGACAGCGACCCAAGACCAAAACGGTTTTCACAATTTTGCAGACTCCATTCCCTTGCAATATGGGCTCTGTACCAGACAAGAAATGGCATGCCGCCTGCCAAAAACTTCACCCGATGGGTGGCGGACTGCAGAATCAGCAGCGTTTGCCTCGGGACGAGATCAAGCAGAACCCAAAGACCACTAATTTCATCACTGTTGAAGAGAAATCCGGCATCCAGTAATCATGGTAGTTTTTCTGAGTGCAGAATGCAGGTGATGGTTCTTTTAGACAAAGGTCTTTTGTAGGATTTCCACGACCCCGAATAATTTTTTCCGCATAACAATTGTGCTAACAGAAAGGGACTGAAAATATTTAACCTTACATGCCAGAGGAAGGAATGAGTGGATTACGGGGATAGAGTAGCTTTGATGGTGGTCCATATGCTTTAGCGTAGTCTGCGAGTTAAATTTGCGGCAATGTAATAGCGTAGACATTAGACAGAGTTCCTTCTGTTATCGACGAGGTCATAGAGGATCCATATTTTTATATTCACGAAGTCCATGACAAGCCAAGTTTCGGTGTCCTTGGGTTAAATATATTGGCTAAAAGATGTTGGACGGATTCTATGTTGTTTCGCTGACGAATATGGAAGAGGTTAGTTCAAGACTAATAGTATTTTAGTCCGGATTTAGCGTGTATTTCATAGAAACGGTTTTTAGTTTCGCCAGTTTTGAGAGCATGAAGGATAAGCCCGGTCGTCGTGCGCGCACATGAGGCAATCAGGACACAATGATCTAGATTGTTTAAACTTGCGGATTGGGATATATCGAGACTTACTAAATTCGAGCAGACTAACAACGACAGTTTAAGGAATTTCGCCGTCAGTGAATTGCTGTCAAAACGCAGATTTGTCAGGCATTGAAGGACTACTAATCTCGAAGTATTTAGCACGCTGGACACGAGACAAGAGTTTATTCCAGAATATCAGTATTCGGTTACAAGACAAGGAGACGGCCGCAATATTTTCGGATTAAAAGGATTTGAATTCGTTGAAATTAGGTGAATGACGGAGCCTTAGGCTTACTTTCCGTTTCCGAACTCAGTAGGGAGACGGAGCTTCAGTTTCAAAATCTCAACAACCCTGTTAAAAACGCTGGCCTGGTGTTTGAATCCATACCTATCAGTGCTATTGTCTCGAAAAGACAAATTAAGTCTTGAAGAATCTCAGTCATGGGGTCTGGATAGCATACTTGCGACTATCTTAAAAGAACTCGCACGCGAACTCTCTAAAACACCAACGCAAATATTTCTTCTGACAGTTGAATTGGAGAGACTGTTATCCGAACGGAAGACAGTAAATATCTACCAGTACTTGGAGTTGTGGCTGTAACCAGCGTCAACGATTATCGTTTCGTCTATCTAAATTAAATCTGCTGTAATATAGTAGAAACCACTCTTAAGAAGCCCACGATGAAGTTCCAGATGGAAACAAATAGTTGCTCTTACTGCTCCATGGCGGTTTCAGAAAGAGCGGTTTCTGCCTCTCCAGCTTGTTGCTCCCAACTGAGCAGCGGAATCGTGCACTGCAGGAGGAAGAAGTCGACTCCATCTGCACTGACTCCAGGAAGGCCTCCGAGAACGTCGACACACACGTCTGATTAACAAACTTCCTGCATTTTGAATAAACGGCAAACTACTGTTATGAATTGCGGACTTCCTCACAGAGAGATCAGAAACTTAATTTATTGGTGCCTCGGATTCACCCTCTACCTCTTTTTAACCGATGTCCCCAAGCTCTTAGACCGAGGGCCGTTACCCTTACTTGTGTCTACTAGCGGTTCTATCGACAGCATAGACTGCAGCGACGGCATGTTTGTTAACATTTCAAGCTTTGGGGGGCCATCGGGTTTGCCTAAGGCAGACGCGCACCGTTGCCTTTTCCGCCGAAGAAGTAAGACGCGTTCTCAGTCAAACAAAACCAGATAAGTCTCCTGAACCCGACAGAATTCCTGGGTTGGTACTTAAGGTGCTGTCAACAGAGCTGTCAAAGCCTCTTTCGACTCTCTTCGAGCTGCCAATGAAAACAGGAAGGCTGCCATCACAGGCGAAGACAGCTAACCTCGTCCCTTACATAAGGGAGGTAGCAGGATGGCATCAAGCAGCTTCAGCCCTATTATCTTAACTCGCCACTTATGCAAAACGATGGAAGCTCACGTAAAGAGCGACATACAGCAATATTTGAAGAAAATAACATCTTGGAGGATTTCCAGCAGGGCTTCCGGAGAGGACGTTCCTGCCTCCCAAATCTACTAGCTTGTATGGAGATCTGGACCAGGGCTCCAGAATAAGGTTTCGACGCCGATATCGGGTCATCGATTTCCGCAAAGCTTTCGATACTTTTCCGCACCAACGCCTTCTTCCCAAATTGAGCGACATCAGCATCCGGGAGAGCGTCTGAACTGTATAAGGACGTTTCTGGTTGGTCGGAAACAACTTACCTGTATCGGTGATAATATTTCAGAATAGATAAACGTGACCAGTGGTGTGCATCAGGGCTCAGTTCTGGGACCATTGCTGTTCATCCTTTATGGTAATGGCAGCCTTCAGGAACTCGACTGCGGTAAAATAATGTTTGCCGAGGAGGTCAAGCTCCGGCAAGTCATTAAGAGTCCTTACGACTAGAAAACCCTCCAAAGCAATCTGCATGGATTGTAAGCTTTGTCGGAGAAATGGCTTCTATATTTCAATGTGCAGAAGTGTGCGGTCCTTCATCTGCGTCCAGCCAACTCTCATTCAAATGAGAGCCGGATGACATATCACCTGAATGATATTAGACTCCCCGCAGAATCTTCACAAAAGGATCTCTGGGTTTGGTTACAGAGCGACATGAAACCAGCACCACAGGGCAAGAAGGCCGCAGAAAACGCCATGGGAGTGCTTCATGCAGTCAAAAGGGCGTTCGCGACCTTTGACCGAGATCCTTTTGTGAGAGTTTACGGCACCTTTGTTCGGTCCCACTTAGAATGTGGCCTACAAACATGGCGGACATAGTTAGTAAAGGACCAAGCATGCTTCGAACGGGTACATCGTCGTGCAACAAAGCTGGCAAACAGTCTGAAAGGTCAATCCTACACATACAGACTGAATTGCCTTAATTTATTCCCCTGTTTTACAGGCAACAAAGAGGTGATCTTATCCTCCTCTACAAGATAATACATGGTCTTGAGCTTGGACTTAACTTTGAGGTCTTTCAGTGGCACCTTTCACCCAATCTTCGTGGTCATTAGATGAATCTACGGACAACAATGTCCAGGCTGAATCTTGGTTCTGAATTTTTCACGCAAAGGGTAATAGAGAAATGGAACGATCTCCCTCAGTTAGTCTTGGAGGCGACGTCCCTGCAACTATTCAAGAAACGCTTGGATGATTATGCGTGTCCCCTGTTTTCCCTCGACAATCTGAATCTGAACTAAATACCCCGTGACCCCGTTAATGTTTTTGCCTGTGCCAATGCTACTCAAATGAATCAAGTACTGTTTAAATAGCAAATATTTCCATTGTTCGCGTACAGTTAGCTCTAACGAGCTGACATGTAATCAATAGGGTTTTCAAAGGCTTTGCCTGTCATTCATACCAAATAAACTGAAAGTGTCTTAACCTACTTAGGAGCTATTTTACACGTATGCTCGCAAATTTTAACATTGGCATGTGCGTAGTCCCAAAATTCCGTACCACGTGGACTAGCGAGAGGGAATATTTATCTCGATACCATCCTCGCGGTCATCCCCTTTCATATGTTAAGGAACAGAAGGACCTCATTGTTCTGATGACCCCTCGCTTATATCATTGTCACGATGTTTGACTACAGTTAATGTGCGTCACGGATGTTATTCACGCTGAGACGGGCGTATGTAAAGATTGGCACTTTTGGCACTCCTTTAAAATACCGACCTGTAGGATGAGTCCCCTGAGGCAAGCACACACACATAATACCTGCTGGCAGAAGTTTCAGAGCTCAGAATAGGCATTTCTCGTTCAGGGGATTGATTGCCAACTGCTGTCGCCGTTGAGGGAACCTCAGGCTCAGGCTCTTCAGTGGTCTCATAATATGCCTTCATCTGCGCTTAATGCGCCTGCATATGGTGCTTCGGTGATAGCCAGAGTAATTACGCTTCATAATTGCTTTGGATATTCAGTAAAAACGATTAAAAAAATTGTATAAGTGGACTACGAACACCAAGGCTAAATAGTACATGCATAGAC